CAGGGCTCCAGTTATTATTGAAAACAATTGTTATTTTTAAAATGTATAATTTATTATGTTAACCCTTGCATTTTGCAGGTGTTGCATGACGCATTATCTGTATTCGTTCAGGAACTAGTATTCCATACAATGTTTTTGTCTTCCTATAAAGTGTTGTTAAATCCCATGCCTTCAGCATAGGAAAAAATCCCAAATATCATAAGTAGTTTAAGATGGCAGATGTATACGTGGAGGTCTCGAGTACCAAATGTGAACACAGTACTGTATACCATTGGGAGTTTCATATACTGCAAAGTATCTAAAACATCATACGATACATGCAGTGCAAGGGTTAAATGCTACGACAATAAAATAGCACTTGGTATGTTTTTCTTGTTGATATGAACATGTCATGTTGGCTCATGCCTTCCTGTGTTTTCTTAGTGTTCCCTAGCTTGAATTTCCAATGGTTTATTTGTTGCCCTTTTTATTTTTTTGGTTATGTTGGTGAGTAATTGGACTATTGTTGCAAGAGTAGGGTTGAAGAGAGAGAAGGCTAACCTAGGCTTGCTCAGCGATGTGGGTTGATTGAAATGGTTACATTCAAAAGTAAAATAACAATTATATTAAAATAAAGCAAAAACACATATACTATTAACATAAATCAAAAGTATGTACAATGTTAAAAAGAAAATATTTTATCTTGCCAAATCCTTTAAAAGAAGTTAATTTTCTCACTCCACTTTTGAACCCAGACCATATTCAATGCCTTTGTACTATATTTTTCTGATGCATGCTCTAACTTGACACTTAAAACTTTAACAGAATGGCTAATAGAATCCTTGGAATGCATAATAAATACAGAATTTGAATTATACTGTGCATCCCTCACAAATATTTGGTCATTTAATTATAAGTACAGTATTGTATTTTATTGCACAGTAAAGTGCTTTATTTATATGTGCAAGTTATATAATTTGCATGATTGGCAATATATCACCTTTGGTAGCACACATTAAACTACAGTATCGTAAACAATGAGTAGGGTAAAGCTCCATATTCTTTGTTGAATTGAGTGTGTACTGTATGCTTAATGGAAACATTTAAGATACCAAAGGCTAATCATAAAGAATGTTAATGTAGTGGTCAGATGTATTGTGTTCTATTAGGCGTACCATTAAAATATACTTGTATGGCTGTAAACAATGACAGTCTGGTTGATCAGGTAGTTGCCGTGGAAGTCGGACATCGGACCAAGGTGCAGAATAGAAGTGCTCTTGAAAGCTTCTAAGGTAGGTAGAAATGTACACAGACAAGTACCAGAATATGGAGGAGAATATAGAGGTGTGTGCAAGCACACGTACAGCTGCACTGCTTGCCACCCCCTGTCATCATTACGTTGTGTCATTTTCATGTGACAAAGTTTTTAATAAGACACTGCTAGTGTAGATGTTTCAGAGTAAATAATTTGTAAGTGATTAGGAACATTAGAAAAGTATTTTCTTTTATGGAGGGTAGGGGGGAGGAGGTGAGCGTGAAGTGTGATTGGGGCATAAAATGCAATATATCTTGCATTTAATGTTTATAATTCAGTGTAATCATTTTATATGTACTTTGTGTATATATGTATTTATGTATATACAGTGGAACCTCGGTTTTCCTAAACCCTGTTTTCATATTTTTCAGTACTCGAATTCAATTTCTTCAAAATATTTGATTTGGTACTCGTTGTTTGCCTCGGTTTTCGGAGTTTGTTTATACACGTGGGGGTCCATCGAGCATGTGGCGCTTCAGTTTACCAGTGTCTCCTACCTAGTGATGATCAAGCTTGAATTCTTTATGAAGAATTTAATTGTTTTTGTGCTGTTTTTGTCTCCTGAACACAAAAGCTCTTATTATATATCACGCCATGGGTTCCAAGAAAGTCAGTGGTAATGTTCAATCTAAGAAAATAGTTGTGAGGATGACGATAGAGGAAAAATGAGATCTTTCATAATGAGACAATGTGATGTCCCACTACAGACAAGTGATAAAATCTAGGGGGGTAAAAACGTGTCTGTAGACAAATTCCTAGTAAGACAAGCAAGCATTGAGCCCCAACCAGGTCCTAGTGGTCTGCCTGCAAAATGTAGGAGAAAGTACCCCAGAAAAATCATCACTGCCTGATGTTATAATGTAGGGGGACTCACTTTCCAAACACTAACATCTCCCCCTCACCCCCCCGGGTCCTCATTGTCCTCATACACCAAGAGTCCTCAATAAAGGTATATACAGTACATACATACTGTATTGTAATGCAAAATATGAGTGGCATTCGGTGTGAAATGTATTTTTAAGTTTATATTTTTGGGTGGGAAGTGGATTAATTCCATTTATATTATTTCTTATGGGAAAACTTTGTTATGGTTTATGATATTTTGGTGTACGAGGAGTCGGAACGGATTAAAATCGTAAAAGAAGGTACCACTGTATATATATACTTTGTGTGTGTGTGTGTACTCGCCTATTTGTGCTTGCGGGGGTTGAGCTTTGGCTCTTTGGTCCCGCCTCTCAACTGTCAATCAACTGGTGTACAGATTCCTGAGCCTACCTGGGCTCTGTCATATCTACATTTGAAACTGTGTATGGAGTCAGCCTCCACCACATCACTGCCTAATGCATTCCATCTGTTAACTACTCTGACACTGAAAAAGTTCTTTCTAACATCCCTGTGGCTCATGTGGGTACTCAGATTCCACCTGTGTCCCCTTGTTCGCGTACCACCAGTGTTGAATAGTTTATCCTTGTCTACCCGGTCGATTCCCTGTGTGTGTGTGTGTGTGTGTGTGTGTGTCAGACCATGAAGGAAGGAATGAAACGGGGATTTCCTTAACTACTTTCGTACTTAATAATACATGTTCAGAAGGATGGATTTATAAGTCGGTAGATTGGATATATATAGGCAGGAGAGAGGTGAAATGAAGTGGGGTACAATGACTTGTATATTTATCTCCATTGCGCTCTAACTTGGACATGGAATTCTTTGAAAAGAAATTTGTTTAAAAACTTACCCCTGGAATCATTCCATGGTTTAGATACGTTAATGATATTTTGTGTATATGACCTACAAATGTAAATACAGACAAATTTGTAGCTAAACTCAATGATGAAGTCACCTCTATAAAATTTACTATCGAGACTGAAATTGATAAATGTTTGTCATTCTTAGATATACTTATTCACAGGGAAGATTTTTCAGTAAAGTTTAGTTTACAGATAGCCTACGAATAATTTATCTTGAGTTCATTATTTCTCAGGGCATAGATACAATGTGAAACGATAAATTTTTTCCTTTATGTATCTAAGAGCTCTTCGGGTTGTTAGTCCAGAATTCTAGATGAAGAGATTAAGAATACGTTTCTATTGGTCTCGAACTTTGTTATCCGCCGAGTTTTTTTTAAGTTTGCCGTAGCAAAGCACGTCGTACATATTATAATAATATATACAGTGAGAAAATTCACCCAAAGAATGTGTTATGTTTACCATATTTTTCTGGGTTTGAAATTATGGTCAAGGCCTTGAGAAACTTTTTGATATACTGTACATGTATTAAGTGTTTAATTACGAATATACTGTTGAAAAACTTATTAGTTTGAAACGGTCCTTGTAGTGATAATTGTGTCACTTATAAAATACCTTGTAAAGACTGTAATAGGTTCTATGTAGGGCAAACATCTAAAGATTTGAAATGTAGATTTTCGCAACATAAATACTCTAAGACACGGCCAATTGTCTAAGGTTTTTTTTTGTTCATCTGTCAGAAAATTCTCACTGAATTGATTGGGAGATGGCTTCTTTAATAACAAATTGTTAAAGCACTTTCAATAGGAACATAATTGAATCTGCTTTAATACAGATTACAAAATCATGTAATTTGAACATTAGCAGTGGTTTGTATAATTTAGATCCATTTTTTATCAGTTAAAGGGCGATTTGAGTAGGATCATTATACTCATTTGTCTCGCTAATATCTTGTTAATATCCACTATCTTATGATATTAATATCCACGTATGGGCCTATTGGCCCATACAATGCAGCTCCTATTTGTATCCACCCAATCCCATTCATATATGTCATTGTACCTCACTTCACTTCATCTCTCTTCTGCCTATATATCCACACTACTGACTTGTAAAGCCATCCTTTTGAAGATGTATTATTAAAATACAGAAGTACTTAAGGAAATTCCCGTTTCATTCCGTCCTTTGTGGTCTGACTCACATTTTTCATCCTGTGTTAATTTTCGTGATTTACACACACACACACACACACACACACACACACACACACACACACACACACACACAGACACAGACACAGACACAGACACAGACACACACACACACACACACACACACACACACACACACACACACACACACACACACACACACACACACACACACATATATACTGTATATACATGCACACACGCGTGCGTGATAACAAACTGGAAAAGGTGCAACGACACGCTACTAAGTGGCTCCCAGAATTGAAGGGCAAGGTTAGAGGCATTAAATATGCCAAAACTAGAAGACACAAGAAAAAGAGGTGATATGATCACTACATACAAAATAGTAACAGGAATTGATAAAATCGATAGGGAAGATTTCCTGAAACCTGGAACATTAAGAACAAGAGGTCATAGATTTAAACTAGCTAAACACAGATGCCGAAGAAATATAAGAAAATTCACTTTCGCAAACAGTGGTAGATGATTGGAACAAGTTAGGTGAGAAGGTAGTGGAGGCCAAGACCGTCAGTAGTTTCAAAGCATTATATGACAGAGTGCTGGGAAGACGGGACACCACGAGCGTAGCTCTCATCCTGTAACTACACTTAGGTAATTACACACACCTCCCCCCCCCACCCCCACCCCCCCCACCCCCTGTATATGTATATATATATTTATTTATTTATTTATTTTCACAGTTTCTTCAGCCTGGAAGTTCAGCTTCTAAGATACTCTTTCTATTTCCAGAATCGAGAACTTCAGATAATGAGAAGACTAGAACATTGTAATATAGTTAAACTGATGTATTTCTTCTATTCCAGTGGAGATAAGGTATGTACCATGCTTGTGTAGTATTACTTCTTATACAGTTGTCATGTCACCCTCATGGTACAGTATCACTTGAGGTTTTACACTCCTATATAAGAATGTAAATGTCTGTGGAGTGTGTAATAGAACTGACTGACTTATAGGAAGACTCTCTTCCTCTCTGCCTTGGCCAACATGCAGAAATAATCTTAACTTTTTTTTAACCCCAACTATCTCCCTATGAGATTGCAAGTTAATGGTACAATATATTTGTTTGTCAGTTTGTTGGTTAGTATGTAAGAAATTGAATTGAACTCTGTTAATTTCAGTACTTAGATACTGAAAATGATTGAGTTAATAATATTATTTAATGATGAAACATTGCTATATATATAATATTGCTATGAGGTATGTTCAATACTAAAGTCCACTATATGCTAAAACTTAGACCAACAATTTCTTTAAAGCAATATTTTGATAAGGATTTATTGTGATGAAGTAAAACATAATTCCAGCTCTCCTGAACTTAGGTTATGCAAAACATCACATACTTCTGAAGCATAATTTAGTAATAAATGTTCATATTGAAGTTGATCCCATTTATGTATAGTGGTAGTGAGTACAGATCACATAGGAGAAATATTCTGGGAGTGTCATTTTCACTGGTGGTCTTTTGTAATCTTTTCTCCAGCCTGTACACCTTACACCAGCCTGTACTCCTTACACCAGCCTGTACTCCTTACACCAGCCTGTACTCCTTACACTAGCTTGTGTTCATTCATGTCCTGAAATATGGGTGTCTGAAGATACCCGTCTTGATCACCCTTATGTTATTGTGCAGTTTTTTATCTTGAATACTTCTTAATATTTCGCTCCTTACACTCGTTTATCAAAAGTAATGAGTATTTTTACCTCGGGAATTTTTCTCATTTAGAGTTTGCTTGCACCATAATGCTGGCTGTGCATTTTCAATATTGATAGTGCTTCTCGTGCACAAGTACACAGACATTCTCATTGTCACAATATTTGATTCTTTGAAACTGCTCAAAACTGATTTCCATGTTGGTCCTTGTCTTTGTTCCTTTTAGGAATAATTGGAAGGTCAAAGCAGTGAAGGTATGACAGTGACAGGTAAGAGCAGAAATCAAATACAATAATGCACAATGAAATCACGAGGAGGCAGTGTATCTGACGAAACTTTTGAAGCCATATGATGGGATCAAACCCACGTCTCTTAACCCCCCAAACACATACACTACCAGCAGTGTGTGTGTGGGGAGAGTCCAAGGATATAGGTATGATCCCATTACATGGCTTCAATATTTTCTCACGATATAATTTTTTTTTTTTTTTTTTAGAAAGTTACATTTTAATTAATTTTTTCCCCCCCAGAAAGAAGAGGTGTTCTTGAACCTAGTGTTAGAGTTTATCCCAGAGACAGTATATAAAGTAGCAAGGCATCATAGCAAACAGAAACAGACTATACCAATCAGCTATATTAAGGTAAGTGATCTGTTGTGATTGTGTAAAACAGTCACAGGTGTGATCTTGTAACAATAATGTGTGGGGCAAGGCAGCGTGTGTGGATGCTTGCAACATAAGCAACCACTGGATGTGAGGATGCTCATCCTCACATCTTGTGAGGATGTGTGTTACAGTCGCTGTATGTTGTCTTGATGTGTGTGTGTGTGGGGCCAACACCTTGTGAGGCGCATAAGATACAACTTGATGCCTTGTCCTTTGTTTTATGTGCAATAAAGGTCAATAAAAAGAAGCAGTACTTTAGTATAGCATGTTACTAAATTATATACAGTAATAGAAATCCATATATATTTCCTTTGGCTGCAGATTGGGATTGATTACCTGGTAATTAAGTCAAATAAATTTTTCTGATGCTGTAACAAGGTGGTCATTGGTACCTGCAGATTGTAGTCATTTGTACAAGTTTTGTTTTGTTTTTTACCCGCCCCCTCCCATTTTAAATGATAAGAGTTGGATTAGATATTACAATGCATATGTGGCATTTTCCCGGAGAAACGATGACGTTTCAGTCTGTCCTGGACCATTTATCAAGTCGGGTAATAGAGAAAGAGAAAAAATCTACTGTACTAACATACGAGACAGAATGGAAGGAGAACATAAAGGGGATATAACTCCTAGGTCACATTTTTTGGGAGCCGGTCGGCCAAGCGGACAGCACGCTGGACTTGTGATCCTGTGGTCCTGGGTTCGATCCCAGGCGCCGGCGAGAAACAATTGGCAGAGTTTCTTTCACCCTATGCCCCTATTACCTAGCAGTAAAATAGGTACCTGGGTGTTAGTCAGCTGTCACGGGCTGCTTCCTGGGGGTGGAGGCCTGGTCGAAGACCGGGCCGCGGGGACACTAAAGCCCCGAAATCATCTCAAGATAAACTCAAGATAACATATGTTAAGAAGGTTAGAACATTTAAGTATGTACTGTGCTGTGAAATGAAAGAGTCAATGCTAACAAAGCTAGAACTAAGGTTAATGCTGGATATGTGTATGAAGAGCCGATTCGATAAGATGGAGCCTGTGAAGAGTAGAGGCAGGAAAGATTATTTTAGAAGACCAATCTATAGGATGATTAGAGTCCCTAACATGACGGAAGAGAGCATTGTTTGTGTCTGCAGACTTAACACTTCTTTCATATTTTTTTTGTTTGTCATTCAGTGTATGGTCAGTTTCACTATTATTGGAGAGGACAAAACAAATAGGAAATAGAGCAAATACCAGCAGCATTTGAAGCAGGAGCAATATGAACCATATTAGTTTGTTAAAAGGCGAGCTTTATATCAAGGGGCTGAAGGGTATCAGATTTTTTAGTTCAGATATGTAGGGAAGGCACAGTAGTTTTACTAGTGTTTGAAAAAGGTTAAAGATGAATAATTTCTTTTAGCTGGAAAGTAGGTACAGTTGATAAAATGTAAAGGATAACCAAGGCGAGAGAAAGACTTGTAAATTAAAGACATTTCAGAATCAAGAAACTGAGGGTCACTGATGCTTAGGGCCTGGAGGAAGAGGGAGACGAGAACACTTCTTATTGGAAAGTAGATAGTAGGAAAAGAAGTGAATGTACATACCAATGCATGGACTTAAGGTAAACAGATAGAGAAACCAGACACAGCTGTGAACATAAACATCTAAGAAAGATAGGATGGAATTAGATTACCATTCAACTTTAGAATTGATAAGAGGAGCCAGAGTGTTAAGTGAGTAGAAGAAAGGTTAGAAAAGACTAGCATAATAGAACATAAGAATAAAGGTAACTGCAGAAGACCTATTGGCCCATATGAGGCAGCTCCTATTTATAACCACCCAATCCCACTCATATACATGTCCAACCTACGCTTGAAACAGTCAAGGGACCCCACCTCCACCACGTTACACGGTAATTGGTTCCACAAATTAACAACCCTGTTACCAAACCAGTATTTACCCAGGTTTTTCCTATATCTAAACTTATCCAATTTATACCCATTGTTTTGTGTTCTGTCTTGTCTTGATACATTTAACACTTTGTTAATATCCCCTTTGTTAATATCCCCCTTTGTTAATATCCTCTTTATTAATATCCCCTTTGTTATGTACATTCATCCATTTGTACACCTCTATATGTCACCCCTAATTCTTTGCCTTTCTAAAGAATGTAATTTAAGCGTTGTCAATCTTTCTTCATACGACAGGTTTCTAATTTGCGGGATTAACTTTGTCATCCTACGGTGGATGTGTTCTTATGAATTTATTCATAAGAAAGACTAGTACGGATGAACATACTATAGAATGAATTCTATAGTACGGCGACCAGAACTGAACTTCATAATCTAAATATGGCCTAACCAGATCAAGATATAGCTGAAGAACAACACCAGGTGTCTAATTACTAACGCTTCAATAATTCAATAAATAAATCCCAGTGTCCTATTTTGTCTTATTACGAACATTTATGCATTGATTTTTTTGGTTTTAAATTCTTACTAATCATAACTCCCAGATCCCTTTCACAATCCGCCTTCGCAATCTTAACACCATCTAGCTCGTTATCTGGTAACTCTCCCTAGCCTCAAAACCTTATATTTGTCAGCATTAAACTGTATCTGCCATAAAGAGGCTGTAGAGCAAAAGTATCAACATAGTTTAGTCAGAGATAGGGATGAGTGTTAATAGTGGAAAGAAAAGTAGTTTCAAAGTACAGTACAGGTATTCCATATAGTGGCGACCGAGTTGAACCCATAGCTACACTGAACGTTTGAGAGAAGTATTTTCCATTGAAAGGGAAGTACAGTAGTTGGAGTAACAAAGAGTCTGATGAGGTCGAGGAAAATGTTAGTAGGGCGCAGGAGACGATGAAGGCTCTTAGTTGCATTCTGACTAGGGAAAGAGTTGAAGGGTTAATGCTAGCACAACATTATATAAATATTGATGGATCTGAGACCAATTCCTGGCCTAACAGGTTGAGTTTGACACGACCAATAATCTGATGGAATTCACTTGAATTGTTAGTGTCGCTCTAAACTATTTACCTCTGTTGATGACCACTGTGATTAGTCGGCCATTGCAACTGGTGATATTGCAAACAGAGGTGGTCCAGGAAGAGTAATTTTGGACGTCTTGGAAAGTTTAGGTTTGGTTGTTGCCTTTTCTCTCGTGCCCTCTACAAAATTAGTAGTACAAAAAGTCGTACAAATTTTTGGATGTAATAGTCAGTTTATGTGCATTCAACCAATAGTTGCTATCATTACTAGAAGACAGGTTCAAGTTAGATGACACTTGTTAAGATTTTGAGCATTTAACTATGTACTGAACAAAGGCAGGAGTTGACAGTAACACAACCACAACTTTGTTGTACATATGACAACAAAGTTCATGTTGTGTATGAAAGCTGCTTCAATAAGACAGCATTTGTGTAGGGTACAAGCAGGAAAGATTATTTTGGAAGACCAAGCTGTGGGATGATTGGAGTCACTAGCATGACAGAAGAGGACATTGTGTATGTCTACAAGTTTAACACCTCTTTTGTGTTCTATAAGTCTGTGTTATAAAAGTTTATATTTATTTTAGCAATATTGGATTTAGCAATAGAATTAATTTGAGCTTGGATGAGCCACAGTAATAGATCATGCAGTAATATAGGCCAGTATAAATGACATGCCAGTTTGGTTTGATGTGCTGAAAATTTACCATTTTGCTTTGCAGCTCGTGGAATGCCCTGATTTTCAGGATGATCGTAAAACTTGATTTCCCAATGTTCCTCTGAATCACTTGTTCCTTGTTAGAATAGTTAGGGAATCTGATGCCATTGATATAACACATTCTAAGACTTTTTGCTCTTGTATTGGTATCTTGAGTGATATTTAAGACCTTTGAATATTCTGTGACTGTGCTAACTAATCTTCCTGGCCTGGCACCTTTTGATAATTATTTACTTATGCTTTGGATAGATGCCATGGAATAAGTGCTTGGCATATGAAGAGTAAAGTGGAGTGTAATGATTTTCAGTGTGGCTTATGTGCTGTTTGGAGAAGCAGCATTACACTCGCAGATATAAATGGCATTCTAGTGTGCAAATGGGTTGTCTAAAATTTGAAAGAATATATGGAGGGGAGGATACTACTGGAAGTGGGGAAGGATCCCTATGAATAATTGGGCATGATAACATTTGCAGAGATAAAATGAATGGTCAGTACTGAAAGCAGGGTTATGAATACATCTATCTTTCAATTTATCTCTGACAATGATGAGTGAGGGAAAAAATGATTGATAATTTAGAAGAGGAAGTTATTGAAAAGAATGTGGTGATGTTTGGTGTGAATAAAACCATTCTATTCTTGTTGAAATAGCTTATGTATGCATATTATAATGATCATCTTTTATGTGAATCAAACTTTGTGATTTTCAAAAACATTTTATAATAATTTTAATCATTTCAGTTGTACATGTATCAGTTGTTCCGGAGCCTTGCGTACATTCACTCTTTGGGCGTGTGTCATCGTGACATTAAACCCCAGAACCTCCTTTTGGATCCTGAGACCGGGGTCCTTAAGCTATGTGACTTCGGGAGTGCCAAGCACTTGGTACGTGGGGAGCCCAATGTGTCGTACATCTGCTCTCGTTACTACAGGGCCCCAGAGCTCATATTTGGGGCTACCGACTACACCACCAATATTGGTAAGTGCAATTGTAGTTCACTAAGATAATTTATATATTTGAAAAGTTTAAAGAAAGCTTACTTTCATTTAATTTTTGGTACAAAAAAGAAAGCATCCTTTATATTTGTAAATGTCAGATTTGGCTGCTGGTTTCAGCAGGGTGTTTTATTTATAAAAATGTTTAAAGTTGACACATGAAAGACAGGATACAATACTACAGCCCATTTTGGTAATAGTAAATTTATTATTACTACTTTTTTCTCGTTTCTCAATAGCAAAGGATAAAAATGAGAAGCGGTGTAATACAAGAAAGTAAAAGTTATTATAAAATGACACTCAAACATTCAGCATCTTATATGCTGAATAGCATTATAGTGAACCAGCACAACCACACTTAGAGGTAGGACATGGTGGAAGTGTAATGTTGACCAGACCACACACTAGAAGGTGAAGGGACGATGACGTTTTGGCCCGTCCTGGACCATTCTCAAGTCGATTGTGTAATACTAGGTTAAACTAATCCTTGATTACTGAACTAGCAATTGTAACACTTGGTAACACTAGTATTTTGGAACACTGATAAATTATTCAAGGGTGATATGAACTGAAATTTTGTATAACACTGGTTGGCTAAGCCCTCGACCAATGGTACCTTTCAAGGAAATATTAAATTGAGAAAACTTATTAACCAATGCTGCCACCATCCTGTCTTATTGATATTAAATCCTATACAACAATGAGACAGGAAACATTACTGTGTTGAGAGGGTTCTCTTCTAGATGTAATTACTGAATGACTGTATGTTAACAATCTGAACCCAGAGGATTGGGAGGTTCAATATCCCTGATGACGAATGCACATGGGAGATGACAAAGGGAGAGGTGAGTAATACATACAGATCGCAAATTTAAAAAGAATTTATTTAAGAAAAAATTATGATATTCACCAACTCCCTACACTTACACTGGCAAATGTTACGGAATTTAGACATGGAATAATAACATCAGAGATCACACACACATTATCTGATGGAAACTCCTGTCTCTCAGCCTGCTGGTGTCCCTGTCTCTCCTTTTGGACCCTAGATGAACCGGTCCAGCCCTTGTCCCTGGTTCAGTCACTCTGTCTCAATAATCTATCTACAGGCTTTTTATACACCCCTACTGCCATGCCCAGTAAGCTGGTTGGGGGAGGGGGGGTGGTTGTTGCTAACTTGGAAGTGGGAGGCTTGTAAGGTAGTCTGCCTCCCTCCATGTTACACCCAGGAATTGTGCATTATAATTGCTTGACAAGACTATCGTGATTAATATATTAATATGTCTACTTGAGAAAGCTGACTCGGGTCTAGCCAGAAAATGTTTCAATTAAAATTGTTTGCAAAACTAAAACCCTCGTCTGTGCATGTGGTTGATCTCTTGACCTGGCAGTATAGTAGTCACTGGGTGTTACAGAAGCTGGACATGCAGTTAAGGAGATGTAAGGAAGTTCACGTTCCCTCTATGGGTGGTCAGCAAATGGAATGCATTGAGGGAAGAGGTTAAACCCAATTCCATCCACAACTTTATAAATATGAAAATGTTAATGTGGAGAGAAGTACAATACAGTACTTAGCACACCATGTATAAACGGCAAGGAGGTGGGGCATAAAAAGCTAGATCTCACTCCCCTGTAGTCACTGATAGGTAAGCACTTAGCCAAACCACTACATCAGCATCTTGATGCTTAAATTTTTCATACGGGTTTTCACTAGACTGTAGCTGTTTGATACACCACAGCTCTTTGTGTTTTTCAGTATAAAATAAGACAGTGTTCTTGTGCCTTAGTGCCAGACATATTTTATCTTTGTTAAAATTTTTCCTGCAGATGTATGGAGTGCGGGATGCGTGTTGGCAGAGCTGCTGCTTGGGCAGCCTATCTTCCCAGGTGACTCGGGTGTTGACCAGTTAGTGGAAATTATTAAGGTTCTTGGCACACCCACCCGTGAGCAGATACGGGAGATGAACCCAAATTATACGGAGTTCAAATTCCCTCAAATTAAGTCTCATCCATGGCAAAAGGTAGGATTAGTGGGAGTAAGCATATGTTCCTTTGTATAGGGATGTATTGTATGGCCTGTGCAAGGTTTGTTGTCTACGTACATATTTGTCAATCTTGAGTGCTGTGATGAGAGATGCGTATGCTAAACTTAACCGTTTGTTTTAATTGTTGTTATATTGTCTGTGCTTGTAGAGAATGTGTGAAACTAATATATGTTTTTTGAGAATCTTCTAAATAATAAAGGAATTTATTAAAAACTGTAGCGAAGAACTAAATATTGATACAGTACATCCTTTAGCCACCATTTTAGATGAGAGCAGTTGTAGTTATGCTGTTGTTCATGAGGTGGCTTCTAGGCTGTGCCTGGAGCTAGTATATATATCGTGAATTTCAGGCATTGTATTATAATGTCGCATTATATATTTAGATATGACTGTATGCAGTTTGTTAGGTATTCCTGATTATACTTTTAAGTATTTTTTACCTGAGAATGATAATGCATGATAATTTCATAAATATATTAGTTATGCATCCAGCATTCTAAAGCACTATACTCTAGATGTAAAACCAGCACACAGTTTTGACGTCAATAGTTAGAGCCAGCACAACCGATATTTATTGTTCATGACATAACTTCCTAAATATTTTGGTTGAGAACAAATAATGTGTCAATAGCTGGATCATATTCTATTAATGCTCACTAATTCTTTAGGATAAGTAGCATTGCATATATTTAAAAGTTGAAACGTAATTGGCATTCCACATCAAAAAAAAGAAAGGAACGGCCGGCCTGGCAGTGATTTCTGTCGTTGGGCCAGCAGACGGGGCCAAATGCTAACTGGAGGCGGTGATGTTGTTTTACAGGCATTGATGACTCGCATGGCTGATTCTGCTAACAATGATAAAAAACATCAGAAGCTTAGAGTAAGTAAGTGCTGGACGTGGTGGCTTGGTATGCTGGATGCGTTAGACCCTTCACACCTCATTTACCACCTAAAAACCTTAGTTCTTGTGGGGGGACGCTGGGTACTTTTGTGATGGCAATCGCGTGTTTAAACGTAGGCTGTCAGTGAATGTCTTTGTTGATTTTGTTTTGAGTTTGTAATATATTGTGCATTTCACTATAATGGATAGATGAGCATAACATTGAGGATGTAACAGTCAGTGTTTTAACCTAGAGAAACATTTTTAGATGCTTTATTGGCGACTTGAAGCAGTTTTACGACATGCTGAGTATGTTACTCTCATTGTACAAAGTGTATATATGTTGTAGACACATTTTAAGAATTGTCAGAGTTCATTAATATCAATAATTTCACTACTGGATTTTGTGTTTGTGAAATGGGTGAACTTATTTTTCCTAACCTGGACAGTTATGTTGAGAAAAGTCTTCCTCACTAACATATACTGATCTCGACCGTCTGACTAGAAACATCCCTTTTTCAAATACCTAATTTATTTGTTATGTTGCCATGTTTTATTTACTATAGTTATTTATTTATTTATTTTTTTGAATGGCTAATTTTTCACCGGAGTTTGAACTTGTTCCTTGTCACGTTTATGTGCATAATCTTGCTCACCTGTGTCTGCACCGTATCCCACACGCTCTCGTCATGATTTAGAGACTTATTTGGATAGTAGTGTTTATTATGAATTGAGTAGCGGTAAAAGATTCACATCTCAATGCAAGTTTATCTGGCTCTTCAGTGAAGCCAACAAAAGTCTAGGAGTTCATTACTGATAATAGATGTCTAAGGACATCTCTGCTATTTTGACCTGTTGATCTTAAAGCCTTGTAGTGTTGCTATCTGGCTTCTTGCCTAACCTATCACAGTTTTTGCCAGATAAGAAATTTGAGTTTTAGGATCAGCTTTTGGGTTTGATGAAAAATGGGATTTAAAAAGCACTAATATACCAGTAATAATGTCTTACACATAGTAAGCATTATCATATTTGGATGGCTTCAGTTGGCCCAGGAGGTGTCATCTTTGGGGAAGTTAACAAATGTTGACCGAAACCTTTTTTTTTATCATTATTATTGGTCATGTATCTCGTGATTCTTGTCTTATCCTCTATTTTGCCATTACTAGTAAAACTTTTGCATTTTGGTAAATTTTTACTCCTTGAGTAAACCTTCTGATGTTTTGCTTATGTGTACTTCTTCTATGCACAAAATTGTGGCAAGTCATGCTTGATTTAATAGACGGTAGACGGACAGAGTGGGAACAGTGGATGGACAAAGAGAGGGAACAGTAGATGGACCCTTCTCCTTCCTTCTCTCCCCCTCTCAGAAAATTACATCAAAGAGATTATATACTAAATTGCACAAGGCCAGTCAAATATATTTTATTCAGACTTTTGGAATTTAAATAGTATTCAGTTTTTGGCTCAGTTGACCTCAGTGGGGACAGGAAGCAGACAGCTTGTCAAAGTTCTCCTTACGTCATCATTTTCCTGATCATGTTTTGCAGCTGGATTTTGAGTTGGAGTAATGTCTTGACATGGCTTTGGTGGGTTGGCAATTCCATGGGTTTATAACCCTGTAGGTGAAAAATCATTTGTTTATTGTCCTATTATCGGACTTGTTGAGCTGGAAGCTGTTGCTCCTTGTATGTTATAATTTATCTTTTAAAGAAGGGGTCTGGATCGATATTCTCCAATGTATAGTACACCCTGAACAAAAAATGAAGGTGGGGGGGGGGGGAAGCATTCCAGGAAAAAAACAATGAAGAGGTCACAAAATAAAATCTTTTCTCTCAGTAATACATTGATGTTAAACTAAAAAGTAATACCACTGATGTTGTCTGCTTTGAGCAATTCATTTGGTAATTGTTAAGAGGTGGGATTAGTTTATTCATGAATCCTGTGAAATAGTTCACACTTCAGAGTTTAATCCACACTACTGTATTTTCATTGTGCCGTACCTCGCTTCCTTCCATTAATCCTTTTGTTGTTACAAAACCAAGCTATAAAAGCATATATGTTTGCCATGCTGGGATACAAGCAGGCCAGCATGTAAACATTCAGTCAGGTTAGCATGGAAGGCATGCTGTCAGGTTGGCTGACTGGGTGGCTATCTGGTCATGTCTGGCTAAGAAATAGCAGTGGGATTCTTTTTTTTTTTGGCCAAGGTAAGTGTAATGGTTATCATGTAGTGATGGTAGACCAGGAGCTGAACTACATCTGACCCCAAAATATGTTGTGGCCTCCCATGACTGCCGGCTGATCATGTTGAGCTATGGGGAGTCATGCGGGCAGCATCACAATTCTAACATTGACGCGTAAATTGTCACATGATGATGACATTTCACGAGATCAGCACGTGATGACCACACACTACACATTAACTTGCTGCTTTCTTAAACACTGATGATTACTTATAAGTATCATAATAATTGCTGAAGTTAAAAGTATTTTTGGGAGGTATAACTTACATATAAAATAAAATTGTATATTTTTGTGTTCCTAAGATAGATGATCTTGGGAACTTTTCTAGCAGTATGCTGTAGTATGTTATGGTTAATAAATGTGTAATAGCATATGGGGAGTACTATTTATTTTTGGAACAAACTGTGACAGGCAACAGGCTAATTATGAGCACATTGATTTCAATCCGATAAAGCTGACGTGCTGTACTATACATGTGTGACGAGCATTCGCAAAGGATTAGTAAAAGAGACTGACTGATAATGACTGATAAAATAAAGCACTATTATTCACTTATGTACAGTATCTCCGTCATCTTGGCAAAACATAGGAGAATTGGTGTCTGGATCTAGCATGCAGAAGCTTTTTAAATTGAATATTTACTATGCTTCCTTGCATGTTCTGTTGTATGTGACTTGATGCCATATTGAGGAACTTTGAAGGTGGCTATTTTAGTTCAATGAGTCTTGATCTCTCTTGTTTGGTCTCATTTGCTTTGTGACTGCTATATTAGTTCCTGTTTCTGAAGGTTTCTTTTATTGGCATTAAATGTATATAATTTACTTGTCTTGGCTTCATTAGTATTTAATTAGAAGTATAAGAAAGGTATGTTTTATGAACTTTGCCCATATAGTTAGTAAAATGTCAATGTTAATACAGTATTAAAAATGTTGCATTCTTGATACTGTACTTCAAATTGCCATATATGAAGGGTACAGCAGAGGCCCCCACAAAATTAGCAAATCTAGATAAACCAATTGAACATTTTATAATACAGTATATTATTGCTGCTTGAGAATTGGTACTTTGCTTCCTGTAAAATAAAATTGTATGTAGCAAAAGGAGGATTTAGTTAGCTGTAACCTCCCCTAGTGATTTGAAAGGCATACATATTCACTGTATTATGGTTTGCTGAAACTCGTGCACTGCTGTATGACTGATGTTTGCATCTTGTAATGTGATACCAAAGAGAGACTCAGTACGTCGGTCATTGTTCTGTAATAACTGTGTTCGTATCTATTCAATTATAGATTGAAGTACGTACTGTACTGCGATAGTAGCACTAGCAAAGATTGTCTGCATGTTGTCTCGTTTCAAAACCTGATTGAATTTTTAGCCATGAAATGATTATGAATTAGCACAACGTCTTAGAATAATACTGTCTGCACTTGATAATATGAATCATATGGGTCAAGAATCATGAGACCCCACTCAAGTTAGCCAACTTTGTTAAGGGGGAAATGTTGAGAAAAATGAACACAAATTTATTCTGATTTCTTATTCAGTAGAAATTGCAGTAACCCGAATTTCTATTCATGTTGAGAAGTACCCGAGTTTGGTAGAATGTTTTAATCTGAACTCCTATTCAGATTAAAAGGTCAAAATAGTTAAAAACCGTGATCGTGAATTAATTCGGATTGCAGTACTTGAAAATTTTGATCGCAGGAATGAAAAATACCAAGCTCTTACAGTATGTGCATAGTCACTGGAGATGGAAGTACAAAATATTGAAAACAAAATTCAAAAGCTGTTATTTTGTGTGTATGGTTGCAAAATGTGAGGGATGAAGGCTGTACTTGTCTCCTAAATGTGCAGCTATACGCTTTTGATTTGTATTAGTATATTTTTATTTGCATTATTTTAATTTTTGTATCATTTCTATCTTGCCATGATCATTCTTGTCTGCTAAAAAATGTTCGTCTTGTATATTTTTTTTTTTTGCATTATTTATATTTTTTGTATAATTTCTTTCATTTCTTTCTTGCCATGATCATTCTTTTGTTAAAAATTTTTCTTGTCTCGTCCTATATCTTTTCTCTTCTCTTAACCCTGCATATATCCCCCATCATTTAGTACCTTTTCTCTCATCCAATGATTTCCCCTTGTGCTCTATCTTTTCTCTCTGCCCAGTGTCTACCAAGTAACACAGACTCTTCAGTGCTGTCAGAAGTAAAAGTGTGCATCTAATCCCTATTTTTGTGTATGTTTTGTTTGAGTAACCCCCCCCCCCCACCCTTGGCAGTCATCCCTCTTGGACGTTGGACGTGTAGTGTATCTCATCCCACTCACTAGTTTTGGGAGTAGCTATCCATTTGGTATCTGCTTTTGGACATACTTTTCTGTGCAATATACTCTATATCATCTGGTTGTTTCCTTAAGCTCTCTCGTCTCTGGTTAACCTCTTTATATGCTTTCTCTTTCCATGTTTCATTCCTTAAGGTTACATCTAAAATCCTTTTAGCTGAATTATAAATTTGTTAGTGATCTGTCTTGTACCATTTTCCTCACATTCCAATGCTCATGTTTATTTATATATTAATGTATTAATATTGTTACTGTATTGTACAAATTGTAATTCTCCAATTTCTTCTATAAGGTATTTCGTCAGCGTACGCCCGAAGACGCTATTAACCTTGTCGCTCGGCTGTTAGAATACACCCCTTCGGCTCGTATCACTCCACTGCAGGCATGTGCACACAAGTTCTTCGACGAACTCAGGGACCCCAACACCAGACTACCCAACAACCGGGAATTGCCACCCCTTTACAACTTTACCGAACAAGGTATCTATGTACATCCAATATTATTTATCTCACCCTCTCAAAATTTCTCAATAAAATATATTTATGTCTTAGAATATGGGTAAGAAATTATGTATGTGAAGCAGAAACAAGCATGCTATATTTAAGAAATTCCTGTTTGCGACATTACATTGTCTATACTGATACAGTAATACATTAGACTCCTGTACAAACAGAACTCGGTCATTTGGAAAGCTTCTCAGTGGAAACGATGAATTCTTGTGATTGATTTTGGTACTACTGGGTGAAGTTGATGTGTATGCATGGACTGGAACCCCATCTTAGATATATACCAGTACATGAAATATATAGCAGTACCTGTTCTGTATACACCAATAGGACCAAATATGCTTTCTTGGGGATCAGAGTTTGGTTCTGTGGAAGTACTAGAAATGTTATTCCAAAAATGGTTATGAGCTGATACCTCTTCAAAGATTAATTTGTTTCAGTAGCAGGAAAGTCGATGGGCTGGGTTTGGAAATGTCTTAACGTTTAGTTTTCATTTGGAGAGCAACAAGCTCAGTTGGTCATTATTAGATATTGTCCCCATATCTCCTTAACTTGGATTTTATTCTGTTAATAAAAAAATGTAAAACTAAATCTTGATGAACACTTTGTGTTGTGTAAAAATCAATAGGAATGGTTTGGATTTTTTTTTCACCTTTGAGTTTGAAGCCGTTTTCTTTCACCTGAGAGGGAAGTCATGGCACTGTCTTTGAAAAGTATGGTATAGTTGTTGGACTATGGGGATAGATAGACCCAGAATGAGGGTGCAGTTAGGAAATTCTAGTAGATATCCATTATATGACAGGTTATATGTCCATTATGTGATAGGTTGAAAGTTATTTTTGTTCTCAGCAAAATTCACCCATAAAGCATGGGAAATAAGAACATTTGTGGTAACTCGTTCAATATTGCTGGGGATACAGTTTCAAAGACTTTCCTTACGTTTAGAAATATAGCAGTACAACATGAGGAAAGCCATTAAGACTGAACTGTGGTTGCTCTTAATTTTCAGTTACACGTGGCTTTTGTTTATCAGTACTATATATGAGCAATATGAGTTGGTGACTGCTGTGGAAAAGTCCTGGGATGAGGGTGAAAACTATATAATCAGGTTTTCTTTGTCAATTTTCATCTTATATTGGGTTGTAATTACCATTTTACCCAATATATGCATCTATATTTGGAACCTTAATGTGATAGAAATTATTGGTAAACAAAAATACATTGTTCATAAGTTCTTGCTTATATATATATTATTTGTAAAGTGCATAAAGCTGCTTTCTATCATTTGTGTTAAGAATACTTCCCAAAATTTGGTGATAAACTGTAAATATTATAAAATATAAAATTTTTTTGAATACACGAGAACTTCGTCGGGTTTCAACCACAACTTTGTCCGTTTGATCGGGAGTCTAGTGTACTACTGGAATCTGGCAAACATTTTTATTCAGTTTGTTGGAATTACAGTATTAAAAATGATTAAGAAAATTATTAAGAAATTTTTTAGAAAATAAAGTTAGTTATTAAGAAATTTAAAATTCATAATAGAATAATAGTAAATTTCTTAAAGATCTTGAGGATAAGTTGGATGAATGGTGTGTATATGATTGCCTGTGAAAGCTATCGGCTGTTTATTAAGACACAGTATTTCAAGGAATAATAGTATCAACTATAGACATTGGGTGTAAAAGGGTGAGGCATTTCAGTTTCTGGACAGAGAGATCAGTTGTCAAAGTACATGAAAAATTAGAAACTTATTTGGTATGTGACATGTCAATACGAAAATGATTGTAAAATTGAGTTACATTGAGTGGGAAAAGAAATGCTAAGATTACTGACAAAGGGCCGATTGCACAAGATATATTGTGTATAAGAACAGTGTTTGAGTGGGCAAATTCTGTTAATTGAGTTCTTAGATTTAGTCACATAGAAATGTTTCACAGGTTGCCATGCTTAGTACACAAAACTTTGCTCTATGGTGATTTACATGTAGCGAACCAGTTTGCCTCAGAATATTGCCCTTGTGTTCATTTAGTACATGTGTGCACTGAGGGCATTGCTCATTATTTCCTGAGACACTTCATATTCCTCCAAACTAGCAAGAATTATTTTACACTTTTAGGAGTATTTGATTTTCTGAAAGCTGCATGCAATATTTTGGGAAAATTCTCCATAGCTGCCACCTCATGGATGAATAGTTCAGCGAGTGTGGAACAAAACATCAAAGATGGATACTGCCTTTTTTTCAGAGCTACTAATTATACTTGAATTTAAGTAACTGGACACCAGTTGGAATACACACAACATACTTAAAATTTGCCTTCAGTTTCACAAACCTATACAGTTAATGTTGACAGAATCTGAAGTCTGGCTTCCTATTATCAAAAATAGGTTCTTTCATTTAAACTTTTAGTGAAATTATTTGCATGAATCACAAAGAAAAAGTCTTAAGTTAATCTTTGATGTTCAGTAGTGGTATTTAACTTATTATTATTACAGAAATCAAGATCCAACCTGAGTTGAACAGCAAACTGATTCCTCCACATTATCGTGGGGAACCAGCTAACAGTAGCACCGGAGGCGGCTCATCTGCTGTGGACTCATCAGAGGGTGCTGCAGCTGCTGCTGTCAATGATAACTGAGTTAAGAGGTGGTCAGCTCAGCCAGCCACCCCTGCAGCCTCCCCATTTGCTTCCCTGCCCCTTCGTGCCGTGCCATTGACTACTCCAATGTAGAATAAGGCCGGGGTGATGGGGCTGAGGAGGCCTGTCTTCTTGGGCGGATAGCTGTACCTCAAGCTGCAGTTTGGCTGTAAATTGTGCGGCCCTCGTGATGTGTAAAGTGTAAATACATTGAACAATACTGTACTAGTGAATGACTCCCCAGGCTTGAGGCACCTAGCAGCCACACCGTTTGCTTGTTATTGCATACACTGTTGTGCCAGTGTGGCTGGGCCCAGGTGTCCTCGATCTTGAGGCAAGAGCTTGGTGCTGACGGCTAGCCCTCGGGTGCCCAGCCCACTGCATGCGTGGTAGCTACTGCTCATGGGGTCGTTCGAGCACCCAACTCCTCGCCCAGCAGTGGAACCAGCCTCGGATGCGTTGTAATTGTCTTGGACTATCATAGTTAGGTCCATCATGTCTGCACCAAGTTTTGTAGGCCACTGTTGCATGGGAGTGTGTATGCTCTGACGAGGTGTATAGTTTGACCAACAGCAATGTGCTCCCTCTTGGTATTCTGCTGCCTCCCACCTCCCCTGCTGTCCCCTTACCTTCTCACCTGCAGCAGCTAGTTCACCCCAAGCCAGTGCTAGTGATGAGTTGTGAGTTGTTGGTGTGTCACACTGAGTTAGTGCCAATGTTACTTGTAGTATCACCTCTGTTTGCCCGCCCTGGGCTCACTTTGTTCCTGCTCTTCTGCTGGGGACACCAGCTTCCCATGTAGCATCAGTGTCCCTGGAGTTGAAAAAAAAGCAAAAAGTTTATTATTATTATTATAATTATAAGGAGGCCAGTCTGGACTTCAGTGATCCCTAGACAGCACATACTCTACCACACTATCCCATCACCAGTAGTGGGCGAGTTAGGGCTCGTCACCATATTTTGTGATCTGTAACCATCATAGTGTGGATCGTTGCTGGTTATGGCCGAGGTTGTACAGCTGATGGTAGGATAATCTAGGATTGGACGACATGCTTGTGCTACACGCGTGGAAGTCGTTACGATGAGGTTTGTGGTACTGTCCCTCTGAACAGGCTGATGAACTTCTAGGCATGGCAAGCAGTCTGTTGCTTGTCTAGCACTTTAATGTTGGGTTTCCTCTTCTGTATATAGTGTTCATTTTCACTTTGCCATCACAAGTACAATTTATACATAGACAGTCCTTAAAGTGGTCTCTGCAGACGACCAGGGCCCTTGGCCACCATGTAGTTCATCGCAGTATTTGAATGGATGCTACTCTTCCATGGATCCTGTGTGATCCTCTGTACTGTTCGATTGCTGGTGGGGAGAGGTGTCAGGTGTATCATATTTGTCATTTCATTTCTTTTCTTTCTAATTAACCCTATTGTATAAGTGGTTGAGCAGGAAGATAATGCTAACTCGGTAAACTACACCCTTCCCATCCCCCATCCCTCGGTGGTTTTGTCCGACACCATCCAACCAGTGACACTTGCATGGAAGCCTAGTTATACCATCAGTGATTAGGAGCTTTAGAAGGTCGTACTACAATAAGGTTCATTTTTAATATCCTCAACTGGAAGCAACCACTTGAACCTCATTGAACTATGTCCAGGGCTTATAATTACTCTTTTTAAAGCATTTGCTCATTCATGTTTCTCATTTATTATGATGCAGTGGGAGACAAAATAAGTAAACAGCCTGGTTGCTATTTTTTTCTCATAGCATGGATGATATCATAGTTATAAAGGTATTATAATAATATGATTGGTATCGCTATGGTAGGTACAAAACGAGTATTGTCCTTCTTGTCTCTTGGATACACAGACCGCATCAGCAGTTGAGCTTTAAAATAATTAATGAGGTTTCATTTCTATATATATTACATAGTAGGAAGTAAAGCCTTATTTTAATCAAATCAAAAATTAAAGCTTACTTGAAAGCTTTACTCTTCCTCCAGTGAGACTGTCCATTCTCCAAATCAGATTTGTTTAATTGCATATATCTTGTCATTTTTAGTCATAACTTGGTGAAAACCTCTTCACAGTCATGATTTAAGGGCATCTAGCCCACCAATACCTCGATTGTCTGTGGGCCCATTTAATAAATATTTTGGTTATTCTCAGTTTTGGATTTTGACTGCTGTATTCATTTCACAATTGACATATGTACAATTTCTAGACAAATCACATGTCATAATCTCTTATTGTGGGTAACTGGGAATTAAGTGGGTCAAGCAGTTCTTTGAGGCATTGGTGCTGGGCGCCAAGACTCTCACAGATCATTTAGGGCCTAGGGCAAGTAAAGTGAAGCAGGATGGGCTAATATATATACATATATATTCATTAGCCAACAGTTTCGATTATTCAGTCTCGTTTGTGCAGGATGTGGAATTTTGAGGTTTGTGTATGGTTTACACTGATTTCAGGAAATAAGCTTAAATTGTACATAGTGACAAAAATCTCATGTTCTGAATGCACGGGTACTGAGTAATTGTGTTGGTGAGCATCTCATCACCTAGTATATTCTGCTACTCATCCAGGGCACGAAATAATTTCCTTTCAAATATTGTAGTAAAATGGACAAGTTCAGTGTTGGCCAAGTTTTAGATGGGACTCTCAATTAGGTTTCATATTCCGTTTCATAGTGCAAAATAATGAGCCATTGTGGAAGTCCCTGCATCGGAAGGACATTCACTGAATACTTCAATACATAAAAATGCAGTGCTGGGCGTTTATGGGTATTGCTGCAAAAAAAAAAGTCATCCTTGATTTGTGGCTTGTTCACTCAATAGAATGAAACACAATTTGTGCAGAAGTAATATATATGTATATGTATATATATATACACAGTATGTATATATAAATATATATATAGACTGCAATGTAGTGATAGAGGTAGAAACTTTTGCTGGGAGGGGACATGGCAAGATCAGGTGTGTGTGCATGTTTGTGCGGTGGGTTGTCAAGACAGGAATGATTATTGAATGAAAATTCAATTTTACTCCATTGGGTGTCTAAATTTGTTGTGCTAAGGGTGTATAAAAGTATGAAATCGTTGATGATCCCAAGTTCCCCTTTTGTAAAAATATGAGGATACCAGGGTAAGTTTCGCATATAATACCTCATGTACAGAAAAAAGGAAGAACAGTAAGATGGATATTGACAATTGAGTTATAAAAGCTCTTTGTTTTTAATGCAGAACAGATCTGACAACCCAAGCACTACAATAAGGAGCTGTTACCAGTTGACAGATAAGTTTTGCCACAATAGAGGGCTTAATGGTTTATTATTATTGTTTACGTGATAGGCGTAGCAATTGACCTGAGAGTTGAGGTGGAGTGCTCAACTGTCTGTCAATGGTGTGACACACGGCCGCGACACTTCTCCAAGGTATACAACGCCAAACTGGGGAAATGGCCGAACATGTCGAGAAAACTGACTCGAACCCGTAGTAGGAGGGTGTTGAATGTATCCTTTGTGGTATGAATTAACATTGCTCAAGTTTCTCCTGTTCGTGTATTTATTGTTATGTTTTGAAAGGGTAGAGAACGTCGAGATAAGTGATAATACTGTTTTTACTTCAACAGGTTGAAATTTGTTAGTACTGATAGATAATGTTCTGCCTAAAGTATCTCCATATTACAAGAAACATTAGCTATCAGTCAATTATATTAATTTACAGTGAATTTTTCGTGAAGATTTAATGCAGGTTAGGTATATAGCAGGCCTTGGATACATTTAGGATGGAATATATATATATATAGGGGATTTTGGATGGGGCACTAGTAAAGTTTGATATCCACACACATGGGTATCACATATAGCTTTCAGCCAAACTAGATGTATGTGGACAAACACGAGCCCCTTTGCCGAGTAGTGTCGCGGCCCACTCTTGATGAGGGAATCCTATCCTGAGTTCACAACACCTTAGCCAATAATATTTGTAATTACCCTAATGTAAAAATGTACTCTAATGCTTAAAGTGTGCTTTTAAATTAATGTAGATGCAACTGTTCTTGTTCTTATGTTTTTCTTAATGGATGTACTTTTAAATGACATGTAGTACATGTACTAAGTTTATAGTATAATTGTTTTAATAAAGAGCAGTTGTATTACTGTCACATGGAGCATTTTTCAGTATCCTTTGTAGATTACCTCGGTGAATAGGAAAATGGCAAACTATTTCAAAAGGATATTTTTCATACTTTTTTTTTGTCTAGTTATGTCTTGTTTCAAGGGATCAATTTGGTCCTGGTCATTACAATGCACTAAGACATTACCGGTTTTTGTTATTTTTGTCTCGTCATTAATGTGATTTTTGAGTTCAAAATTTAAAAAACATTTGCCCGTATTGTATTTTCATGTGAAAAACTGTGTGTTATTTGGTACATGAATGAATAATACCTTTTATTTTTCACTCCAGCTAATGTCTACTCCCCCATGAAAGTGGGGAAACAATGCAGTGATAAATGATACCAAAGTTGCTTTTTACAAATAATTCATATAAAATGTAATTATTTAGACGAGAGGTACAGTACAACCAAATTGCTGTTCTTCGAAGCTCATTTGCAAGGCATTACTGTGTTTTTAAGGGCACTTGATGCAGTTTGTATCCATTGAATTTCCATAACCACTAATAAATAAATGATACAATGATCTTTAATAGTGGTTTTGTAACTGCAATACAAAATTTTGAACAACTTCCTTCTAACAGTTAATTTGAGAAATATATTGCCAAAACAAAAGTTGAAATGCAGATAGGGCTTGATTGATCAGGTTGTGATGGTTAGGTGGGCCAGTGGTCGATAACAGCAATGGCCTCACTAATTTGGCACTCGTCAAGAGTATATAAACACTTGAAACTACCATTCAGCTACAGGTAGACCCAGGTAAAGGTAATAGACTGAGCTCATTCTTGTTAGCTTTTTCCAGTCAATTGATAATATTGTCAATTTTTTTTTGTTTTAATTATGTCAAATGTGGAGGGTAAGTAAATGTTATGTCTAGTTTTATAGTATTGTGTAATTTTGGTATTGTTTAATATTGGTTTTGGTGTAAGGTATAGTATTGTGTAACATGTACAGTGCTATACAGCTTTACTGGCTATATAGTTAGTAAGGCTATGAGGACTTTAAATGACATATTCTCTTGAAGATGTTAAAAAAGGATGGAAAAAAGTTAATCCTGGGAATTAGGAACCATCTTTATGAAGAGAATGAATCCTTATGTACATTTCCTAAAAGAGATCCTTTAACATCACTTGTCTTGCTCCTTTCTGCTCATGTGTTGACATTGTGAATATCTAGGAACAGGAGTGTTATTTACCTGTGGGGCCACTATTTCACAAGTGGCTTCCGTGAGGACAGGAAGCCAGCAACTTATCAAATGTACCCCCATTTGTCCTGATGATTTTGTTGAGCTGAATTTTAAAATTCAGCAGTGCTTTGGCATTTACAGCTTTGGCGGGAAGGCAGTTTCATGGGTTTGTAACTGGGTGAAAAGCCTCCTGTTTTGTCCTACAATGTGGCTTGTTGACCTTGAAACCATTGCACCTTGTTTGTGTTGCATCTGACAAACATTTGTTGGTTTTGAAGAAGCTGTCAGAATCAATATCCTCAAAATTGTTCAGAATTTGTAAAGTTTCTATGCAATCAGCCATGTTGTGTCTGGTTTGTAGTGTTAGCCATGTGGCCCTCAGCCGTTGGTAGTATGAGAGTCGACTTAGTTCTGGAATGATATCTGTTGGCCAGTGTTGAACTTTCTTTAGAGCAGCTTTGTCTTTCCATAGGTGAAAGCTCCATGCTTGGATATAATAAGCCAAGTGGGTGGGGGGGGGGGGCACCAGAGATTTATACAGTTGAATAACTACCTTCTTTTTCTTGGAGTTAAATGTTGACTTTATTATTCCAACGGTTTGGTTAGCCTTTATTATTATTATTATTATTATTATTATTATTATTATTGAAGCTTCCACTTGGGCAACTTTCAGTGATTGATGGATTCTGACTCCAGGGGTCATTTTCTTCATCCATCTGCTGTTATGATAATTTTGTTAATTTTGTAGTTGTGATGAAAATTATTATGTCCCACATGCAACGTCTTGCATTTTCAATATTAAAAAGCATTTTCCGGTCTTCTAACCATTTGTGAAGTTCATGTAGATCTCTCTGTAAGGCCTCAGTCCCACTTTCACTTCTAATTTCATAATAACTCTGTCATCTGCAAAATTGATGATGTGATTTGTAATATTCTCACTTATGTCATTGATGTATATGACAATAAAGGATGGCCTCAAAATGGATCCTTGTAGTGCCACTCTCTATCATTTCTCCAGTCAGATTCATTTCTGTTAAGAACGACCCTTTGCTTTCTTTGTTTTAACCATTGTTTTAGCCACTCTAGTATTCTACCATTTATTCCATATGCCTGTAATGTCCTTGCTAGTGTTTCATGTGGTACTTTGTCAAAAGCTTTCGCATAGTCCATGTATAATACATCTACTGGAAGTCCTTTTTCTGAGTAGCTGGTTATTACCCTTTCCCAAAATGTGAGCAGGTTTGTAAAGCATTATTCTATTTTTAGCAAGCCTATGTTGAGTTGATTTTATTAGTGTTCACTGAGAGATTGTGAATGATTTCCTTAGGATTCTCTTCAAGAGCTTACAGATGTGTGAAGTCAAGCTGATTGGACATGGATTGGCTGTTTTCTACTGAGCTGTTTGACTTTTTTTAAAAATTGGGGTGATTGCATATTTCCAATCTAGGGGAAACTATCACTTGGTCCGGAAGGATAGTTCTCTGAACCAAGGGATTCTGGAAATGAGTGTCAGTGGGTGACATAGTTCATTTGCCAGCTCTTTTGTCTTCGGATTGAATTCCAGCTGTACCTTGAGTTTTTGGACCTTTTTATTTTGTTAATGCTCTTCCTTACTATGATACATGTTATGGAATGTGTAATTCACTAATGAATTACACAATTCATTCTCTTCATCTCCTTCAAACTTGTGTGTGGGTATTGGGATGCCAGTTAATATCTCGTGTGAACACTGATGTATTCATTCAGTGTGACAGGTTGTGTTATATAGCCTTCAAGTCTTGGTGCATTTTTCTAATAATTACTTAACAAGACAGAAAGGCACATACGATAGAATTATACAAATGGATTAAAGGGTATTATGAGGGGAATATGGTTCTAAACATTATCTTCTCAAAATAGAACCAAAAACTGAATATGAATCGGCAGATATTGGTAAACTGAGCATAATCTGGTCTGGTAAAAGTTGTTGATTTATGGATGAAATAGGTTACATTGCAACAGAACAAGCATATATATATATATATATATATATATATATATATATATATATATATATTTATATATATATATATATATATATATATATGTGTGTGTGTGTGTGTGTGTGTGTGTGTGTGTGTGTGTGTGTGTGTGTAAATCACGAAAATTAACACGTGATGAAAAATGTGACAGTGTGAGCAAAGTGAACTGTAGGCATACATTATACCCTATACTGATGGGCTTGGTTTGATATAAAATAGGAGCTACCTCATTTGGGCCACTCTGCTTTTAGTAGTTTCCTATATTATGCTGAATAACAATCAAAACTGGTATGTGTAATATGGAATGCAATTTTCCATGAGGATACATAGTAAGACAGGAAAGGCTGTACAGGAGAGAAGTTAACTCTTCTGCTTCAGCTACACTGAAGTTTTGGCATATGTACGCACTACATAGCCTTCCCGGCTTGGTGCCTTCTTTTGATAATTACATACTTTAGCATGCGTATGATGAACAACTCGTAGGACTTTATACTGTATTATATACTGTACATAGAAAATTGACACCAAGAATAGAGTAAGTCGTGTACAACTACCCACTAAATACCAAGGAGGAATACTGTATGACAGTGAAAACTATCTAAAGGTAACAAAAGAGAGGTACAGGGCTCTGATGAGCGAGGCCTAAGATTCTCATACTTGGCAGTTTTCATCATGAAAATTAGAATGGCTAAGAAAGGACACCCGCAAGTGGAGAGGACACACAATCAACTGATGGTGGGTAGTGATGTGGTGAAATTATGTAAGTATAATTACATAAGTGTAGTTGCAGGATGAGACCTACACTTGTATCCGTCTTCCAAGTACTTTGTCATGCGATGTATTAGTACTACTACTAACGGTTATGCCATCCACCACCACCTCACTTCCCGTGTTCCAGTCTACTGCTCTGCAAAGGAGAACTTTCTAATATTTGTTTAGCATCTTTGTTAGTTTGAATCTGTGACCTCTTGTTCTTAAAATTGCAGTTTTCAAGAATTCATTTTTGTCAATTTTATTGATTCCTGTTACTATTTTGTGTGCAAGTGATCGTATATTTTGTTTTTCTTCTTCTCTTACAGGTTTGACAAATTCAACACTTCTAGCCTCTCATACCTGGAGTTTTTTCTAGTTTTTCAGTTCTGGAAGGCATATGTGTAGTAGCATTTTTTCCAGTTTGCTGATTGTGCTTTGTGATAAATACACCACACAACCGTTGCATATTCCAGTTTTGGTGAACACTTGTTGAGGTAGCACAAATGCTAATGCCATCCCCAACGAAGGAACATCCTCATCCCGATTAATGAACCAGGGACAGGAGTCTGAAGCCTTGAGATGAGAGGTTGATCCTTGAACATAGATGTTAAAGGCTCAGTCGCCGCTACACTGTAGTGCGATTCTAATGTGGGGCATCATCCTAAGTCCAGGTCTCCCTATAACAGATTTCTCTAAACAAGTCAAGTCCATCCACAGGATTTCTCAAATTAGAATTTATATTAAAAAAATAAAACTGCGTTTGTTTGTTCCCCAGTGACTGTAGTGGTTGCCAAACGTATGTGTTGTAAAGCTCAGTAGATAGGCGACGTATAGCATTAGAAAGGAAATCTGGAACTATATATGTAATAACTTGTACAAATCGCTACGATTATGTACTGGACAGCTGTACAAGTGTATAGCACTCATATTTTTAGGTACAAATTGAATAACATTGAGCTTACAATTTGAATGGTGATATTGATAAAACTGTACTGCCATTAGAGCTGTGAGATGTAAAATTAGGATGATGA